AGGAAAACCCATCTCAGCGTTGCACTCCCAAACAGCCATCTATCATCTCGATCTTGTCTCACACAAGTCACTATTTCAGTCTAGCAGCGTAAACCAGACATATTTTACTGGTGCCATGCAAGTTTTTTCAGGACCTGCCTCGTGACTTTTTTTAGGCCTGTAGCGTTTTTTTTTTTTTTTTTTTTTCCAGAGAGTGTTACATTTGCTCTGTGGAGTCCCTTTTAAGATCCAAAGCTGCCAAAATGGACCCCATGCTTGCACAGATGGTTGGAAGCTTCCCTGAGCCTCTCTGTATTTAGGGTGGAGGTGGGGGTGGACAGTGGGTAACTGCTTTCAGGTTCTCCAGACTTTTCATAGACCCTCCCAGAGTTGCGCTAAGATGTGCATCTTGGGGGCAAGAAATCTAGTCCACTTCCAGCTGCTTCCTGACACCCCCCCCCCCCCGGCAGGGCAGGCATGAACCACCTCATCTCTGGGCGTCCTGAGCCTGTGATAGTCCAGGGCGATGCTGTTGGTTTGCACTTGGTTGCTTCCTCTGTGTCTGTGGTTTCTTTCTGACTGGGTCGCACTATCTTAAGTCAACAAAGCTTTCTCCCATTTTTTTTGCTGGACGCATCTCTAAACTCACTCTAAGCTTTTCTAAAGGGCCTGCCATAGCTGGCGGTAACCAGCTGTCCTGGTTTGTCCCAATGTGATTACTAATGGAGCTCCTCGTCATTCTCAAAAGAATTCCTGGTTTGTATAATGTATTTCCCTAACTGGAGCAGTCATTGCCAGACAGTCATAATCAAACTCATTAAATCACCCTACCTCATTCCCAGAATTGCTGTATGTTCTCTTGTGATCCCTGTCCTGAAGGATGGCCCTCCATCCCCAGCTGTCTGAGTTGAGTCTCCTTCCTGACCCTCAACTCCATGTCTAAAGCAGTAGTCGCCAAGCACTGCCTTTTCAGCCTCCAAAATGTCTCAAATACATCGTTTCCTCATCATTGCACTGCTGCTATCATCTTTTAGAGTGGGCTGGGGTGGGCTGTCACAAATTCAGTCCTGTTTCAGGCAGTAAATGAATGTAAGGGGGATGGGCCTAAACCTGCAGCCCTCTTGATCCACCCCTTGTTTTCAAACTTTGTTTTCCTAGAGATTTGGATTCAGTAAATATTTCACTTACCTCTTGATTCTCCGTAAGTTTGGGAGGGGAACATAAGAGCAGTGATAAGAGGCATTGACACTCCACCTGAAGGACCATGAGTACTAGGCAATAGTGAGGACAGTGGTGTACATGCCTTTCTCGTCTAAGGGGCCCGCTGCGGCTCCCCAGCCCAGTCACATGACTGCTGTTCTGCAGGGCGTGTCTCCAGGACTGCCAGGTGTTCTGGTTTTTCAAAAGAAGTTGGGGCTCTGGATGATTTTTCTGTGGAATCTCCCAATTCATAAAGGAAATATCCCAACTCGTGGCATTTTTGAAATACCATGTAATCCAAATAAAACATCTGCAGCCACTTGTGTCCCATAGGCCCTGAGTTTCCAGCGTCTGGTTTCCACCCTCACCACCTCTTACCTAGACTGTTACAGATGCCCCCTTCGCCCAATCTAGCCTTTACACTGCCCTGGCCTTTTTTCCCCCAAATTACAGATCCGATCACTCACGAGCTTTCTCTGAAGAGGTCTTTGCCGCGTACAGAATAGAATACACATTCCTTGATGTTGCATCTAAGAGCCTTCTCAATCCAACCCAACCACCCCTCCTGCTGTGCCTTCCTACCCCCCTGCACACACACCCCGGCTGTGCTCTCGTCACACACAGCCACTTGCTGTCTGCCCCCTGAGCAGTCCCAGTATTTTCTTTAATTAATAGCTCTCTTTAGAACAATTTTAGGTTTACGGGAAAACTGAGCAGGTAGTACAAAGACTTCCCATATATTCCTCTTTTCCCAGCCCCTTCTCAGTTTTCTCCTATTATTAATATCTTATGCTAGAGTAGTATATTTGTTACAGTTAATACACCAATATTGACACATTATTATAAAGTTCATCATTTGCATTCAAGCTTACTCCTTTTGGGGGGAATACCACTGTTTTAATACCCTTAAATTTTTTTTAGTATTTAGGTTTCTTTATTCGTATATTGTTCTCCCAGTTCTGGCAAGATTTTTTCAAGGCCAAACATGAGTTATCACTCTTTCTGTCTATTTCTGGAAGGGAGGGTGCAGACAGAAAAAGGAAGAGAACTACCATTTTTCTCGGGTGAATAGTGTGTTCCAAGTACCATATATACTGTTAAATTTTTCTATAATCCTATCATATAGATGTTATTATGCCATCAGGACACAGGTGAAGTAAGTTGCCCAAAGCCCCATTAATAGTACCTGGTTTATGCCCATGTCCACCTGGCCCCAAATTGTGTGCTCCTCCCACCCTTTGCCATGGGCTGCATTCTAACCACTCATCTAGCCTTTCTGCTTCCCCCATGAGATTACTGCAGTGTTGCTGAGCTCGCCACCCCCGACAAGGGGTTGGCACATGCAGCAGCTCCCCCAAACCCATTGGCACGTGTCCTAAAGGCAAAAGTAATGCAAGTAAGGGAAGAGGCGCCAAATACTGACGTCAACTCAGCAAAAGGTTGTTGGATTGCTGCTGTGCACTGGACTTGGTGGAGGATGAGGTCTGGAAGCATCAGGAGAGTGATGGCAATGCTACTGTGAAGGTTCTGTCTGCCGGCCAGGCAAAGTCAGGGAAGCTTTCAGTTGATCCATGACTACCATGGAGCTGATTGTCCTGTCTACCTAGGACAGTCAGTCCCTGGTAGTAATGGTCGCTTAATAAATATTTGTGAACCAAATGTTTGAGTCCTATTGTAAAGGTGGGACCCCGAAAATGATACTGAACTTCTCACAGTTCTCATGTGCATTCAGTTAGCCATCATTCTCCGCTCTGGCAGCTCTGGGCTCCCCGTGTTTGGTTCAGGGCAGCTGTGTATTATAGGTTATTTCCAAATTGTCCCAGACCTGGGTGTGACCACACTCTTAGTTCTCCATACAATTGTTGTGTGGCTTGTACCCAAGGTGACAGAATTGATGGACCTGTAGGCTGATTTTCATAAACCAGAGCTACCAAGCATTTCAAAACAGGCTTGTTTTTGCCAAGCAAGGTGAGCAAATATAGGACCAAGTTTAAACATCCATCAGGAGTTATTTTTGAAGTGATTGCTTCTAAATGAGAGGCATTTGAAAATCTCGCAGCTTTCTTTACAAGTAAATTCCACAGCCATGTATTTTGCTGGTGTCTGCTGATTAATTGCAATCCTGTGACACCATGAAAAGCCCTGGTGGTTGGTTTTGTGCAGCTGCGGAGAAAAGTGAAGCGAGGCCCAGTGACGCTGCCAGCTCTTTCGGGCTGGTGGGGATTCAGGCAGAGGGAGGTATTTTTTTTCACTCTGGCAGTCACCACGTAAGAACAGAAGCCCCAGCCAGACCCATTTCTCCAGACTTCACGACGGGCGGTTTGGGTCCCTGTGGGGGTGTGGTTGAAGTAGTGACATTTGATCTGTTGCTTCTGAAATAACAGATCCATTATTCGAGAAAGCATTTTCAGTTTTCCACATCAGAACATGTGTGCATTCTCCTGTATGGTTACTTCTGTTTAGAAAAAGTATATGGTGGTTACATAAAATAAATGAATCACAAAATATTTTGTTTCTATAAACAAAAGGTGGTCAGCAGGTACTTGTTGTTGGTAATTGCAAATATCTGATCCAAGAAAACCTGCTGACATCTACCTGTTCAGGGTCTTATGGTTCTCAGTCTCTTTTTTCCTGGCCTCTTGCTTCTTCTCTCTACTCCCTTTTGTGTGTAACTCTTAGTTATGCCCCTCACTGACAGGACAGGGAAAAAACAAGAAGTTGAGTCTTGGTGCTTAGAATCACCTTCAGCTCTGGCGAAGAATACAATAGGGAAAGGGGACAAACTGGTTATTAAACTAGCCTTTCTGAGTTCTCCATGTGTTACCTGCTATTGCTTTGCTCCACCCACCTCCTCTCCTGGATTCAGATAAGGATGACTGAAGGATTTCTCTGCTATGCGTCTTCCTCCTCGGCAATAGCCAAGTTCAGAGGATCTCATCTACGCCCTTGTCCACTTTCTTTCTCAGCTTTAGGCTTGTACTCCTCACAAAGGCCTTGTTGATGTCATTTGTGAGTGTGAAGCCAAGATACCTGTAGGTGGGCACACACACTTGCACTTGGCCTATGTCACGTGTCCGCTGGAACTCTGGCCTGCATTCTAAATACAGGCAGCTAGAGATACAACAGATGTGTCTTCCTCTGCTTAATTCTTTCTTATTCCTCCTTAATCCTGATATATAATGTCATGTAAGAGTAAGAAAGTGGGGTGTGTCTGCACTGCTGCCTGCACTCCTGACATCTCAGCAAAAAACTGCTAAAAAATCTAAAGTTTACACACGCCACTGCCCAGGATTTGCAAAGGCAAGCGTCACTGTCACCTGTTTCTTTAGCCAAAACTGTTCTGATGAACCCAGACATGTAAATCGGCTTAGACTCTCAGATTTTAAAAGGTACATTTTTTAATAGAGACTGCTAACATAGAGAAAGATGTTTACATGTCTTTTCTGAAATCAATTTATAGGTCATTTGTTCCTGATAAGCTCTTGTATCACATAATTGTCTGATCACAGAGTACCCATCTTTCTCTGCTAAAATCAATTTATAGGTTTGTAACTACTAAGCTCTCATATCCAATGACTGGTCACAGAGCAGCTGTCCGTATTTGGAATTGCGTTGGGACGCTGCGCGCAGGTGCGCAGGTTGCGAGCCACTTGCCGCACCCTCCAGCACCAGCGTGCTCTCCACAGAGACTGGGCCTCGTGCTGCAGGTGTCTGTTTTCTTCGAGGGGCTATTTTGAGGAAATCTAAAAGGGAGGAACTTGCATTTAGAAAAAAATATATTTTTTCAAAATAGAAATTGCTTTTTCTCTTTTTTGGTTTAGGTTTTTCATTTGTTAAAAGCCTTCTCAGACTCCAGATACAGAATGAACGCGTACTCTCAGCAGGAGCTGGCTGACATCGCTATTTGTACCAAAGCCAAACTCTGGCTGGCCAAGAGGTATGTTAAAATCCCCCAGGAGCAAGGCCTTATCGGGGTTAGGAATATACTAGAGAGTTGCTGTTTCTAGTCGTGGGAGTTTTAAAGGTCATTGGCATGAGTTTTCTAAACTTATTGGGGTATTTATCTTTTTAGAACTTTGGGTTGTGGTAAAGAAAGAAAAATATTTTTTTGACAATTATTCTAAAACTGCTGTGTGGCTGGGGGACATGTAATATGGCTTTTTATCTGTTCACCAATCAGCTTATTTTTATTAATACCTGCTCAACCCTGTGATTTTTATAAATAAAAATCAGCTTATTTTTATTAATATGGGCCCAACCCTGTGTTAGCTGTTATAACAATGAAAGGCAGTAATTGATGAAATCGTGTGGTGCAAACTCTTGGTGCCGTGGCAACTCAGAGATTAGAGGCTGGTGTGAAGCTTGAGTGGGCTCTGAAGGACAGGTGCAGTGTGAGAAGGCAGACATGGGCGTTGCCATTTTCATAGAGTAGTTTGAACAAGCAAGGCAAAGAAGGGTGAATACATATTGTTTTCAGCCTTGCCATTGTTTATTCTAGAACTTAGAACATTTTCTGTGTGAAAGATCGAACAGGAAAATTTCTCATTGACTACATAGGAAACGCTTTCTGTAACGCCGTTCAAACCCATGTCATAGGACTCTGGCATTTGCGGGGCGGTGTTACTGCAGGGCCCCCTGGTGTGTCCTCTGTGAGTTCCAGCGGAGCCGGTCTGCTGGAGGCCCCGGCCCCCACATTCCATGCTGTGATGTGCTGTGTTTGATTAAGAATCAGAATGTTGGTTGTCTCACATAACAGCCTCATTTTTTGTTTTTTAAAAATATATGGTCTGATCACTTTTGTTGGACTTCCCCCCTTATATGGCAAGGCCTGCAACTCAGTGGAATTCAACAGAGCATTGCTGAGCACAGGCCACACACTGGTCTTTGTGTTAGGAGAAGCAGGAATGCAGATACAGAACTAGTCCTAGCTTCAAGGAGCTCACACCCAGGGAGAGAGAAAGATGTGTAAATAATTTTCACCCAATATGGTAAGTGTGATAATGAATGTATGTAGTAAGTACAGAAGTAGCTCAGAGGAGGGTCCGGGGGGACCCAACATTGCACCCTTCGAGGGACAAGTAGCATTTTGCCAAGTGGTCAGGGCAAGGTGGAACATTTCAGGCTCAGGTGTCGATGCGAGCAAAGGCATGGTGGTATGAAATGGCGTGGTGAGTGTGCAGAACTATAAAGAGCTCTTCTGGTGTGAGTGTAAGGTATGTGTGGCAGAAAATGAAGCTGAAGGAACAGTTGGGCCACGTTGTGAAAAAAGTCCTAAAGGAAAGCTTTTAGGTGAAAGGGAGCCGGCGGAGAGTTCCTCAGTGTGTGGTTGTGTGAGTCTGCAGTTTTTCTAAGCACCTACAGCTTTGGACAGGGATATTGATGGGGGAAATTCTTTAGTGTCTGAAATGCCAATAAAGTGAGTGATGGTTTTCCGTCCAGTTTTTGTTCGCTCTCTTTTATTTAAAAAGTAGGGTTCAATTGACCATAAACCAGTTCTATAACCCTGATATTGTTTGCCTTGTGTGGCTTTTGGACAGCCTCCCCCAGATGCTTTTTTCAGAACAGAGAACTGCGATCACATTTGTGCTCTTATGTGTTTACCAATTCCTGGGCCAGACCCTTCAGCGATTATTTCTAGGTTATCAGGAAGTCGGGGCTCTGCAGAAACCCTGCTGCTGAAACCCCTGCTTCCAGCCTGGACTGGCCCAAGACAGAATACTACATCTCCTGTTCTTAAAGTTCTGTAAGGAAGAAGTTTTTACCCCTCTAGCTTGCTACCCTTTCATGGGTTTTACAGAAATTCATCATCCACTGGCTTCATGAGCCTGTTCCATCTGTTTGGATAGGAGGGAGGAGACGGAGTAACGGGCCAGCCATCTGAACAGACCTTCGTGTTGTGCAATGCCTGTCAATGGATGACAAAGCTGCCATAAGCCTCCTCTGGAGCTGGAGAAGTCCTCCTGGCCTCTTTTAACCTTCCCTGTGGTTCCTGTTGCAATTTTCTAATCAGGCTTTTCATCATCATCACCCCCACCCACTTCTCTGATTTTTCTCCATGGTTTTCCAGCCCTAGAAAACAAAGGCATGAATCACTTCAACTCACTAGGTTTCCACCTTGCTTGCTGAGAGTCCAGGAAAGCCACTTTTTAAGTTTCCAGTACAGTCAACACTTTATTATGCGAGTGTGAACTTTACACTTTGTGGGTGGTCTGTAGATGGTTCCGAATACCAGGCTTCCTCTTACTGCCCAACGCACTTTACCATGTTAATCAGGATGTGTTTGGAGCCTAAAATAAAGTTTGGGAGGAAAATGTATTGCCAGAGCACAATGCATTCCAGAGCCATGGGTCCGTTTCCCTTTATTATTCACATCATCGACACAACAGCCTTGAGGTTCCTGAATAAGAAAGTATAAATTGGATCTAAGTGATGCAGCTTTGATCTGTCACATGCTTGCCCTGTTCCTGAGGTCCTCCCAGAGTGTTGCTACAGGAGGTGTGTGCACTAGCAGCTGCTTGCTCACGTGAGCCCATTCTGGGGCCTAGTGGGCCCTTCTCAAAGCCAGCCCTGTCTTCACGTTCTCACCTGCCTTTCCCATGAAAGGCGTTACAATGCACAGTGCGCCAAATTCCACTGCTGAAGTGGCTCCTTTATGTCCCTAACAATTGACACATGAAAAAGGAATACATGTTCCTCTGTGCCTACTAAGGACTTTCTGTATCTTTTCAGTTTAAGCTATGAAACATTAATGTTACTACAAAAAAAAATGTTGGTTTAAATTTTAGCACCAACACCTTTTTTCCTCTATAGTTTATTTGATCATTAGCCTGAGTTCATGCAGTCCAGTAAGTACAAAAACATTAGTGAGGGTGTCATTTATTTGTCCTTTGATTCCCAACGAAGGGATTTTTTTTTAAGTTCATTGGAGCCATTGGATAACCAATTCAGTTTTTAAAAATTTGACCCTGAAATTAGGTCACATAAAGACTTTTGTCATATATTTGTGTTTTGACTTTGCAAGATTAATAGGGGTTTATATGAGGTGATTAAGCAATAGCCATGGAGTTATTGGGGAATTTCTGGTGATGAATGGCCAGCTGGCAACGTGGCCTGAGTAGAGGACTGGGCTTCTGCTCTTACAGGCCGCTTTTCATTCCAAGATGTCAAAGCCTTTATAGAAATCAGCTCATTAATCCTTCAAGTCCCTTCCTTCCCCTTTTTCTCCATTCCTCCCTCCTCAATCCAGTTTACTGTCTCTCTCTCTCTCTCTCTCTCTCTCTCTCTCTCTCTCTCACTCTCACTCTCTCTCTGTCGGTGTAAAGGCAGTTTACCAACTATTGAAGGAAAACTGAGCGCGCAGGCCAGAAGCTGAGTGAGAACAGGGGTCAGCTGCTGTGCTGGAGAGGCTGGCTGTGGGCGCCGTGGAGGAGCAGTCGGCGCAGCCCCTGCTCGGGTGCTGTCTGCCGCTGCCGCAGCTGGCCCACAGGCTCTGCCTGCGTAGGAGGGACTTTAAAAAGCCTGTCAAGTAGGACTAAGGAGAAGAGATTTATTTACTTTGAGAAAATTACTATTATATTGGGCTTAAAAGTTGTTTGAGTTTTCGTTTTTTTTATATATTTTATTGATTATGCTATTACAGTTGTCCCAATTTTTCCTTTTTTGCTCCCCTCGGCATGATACCCCCATTCCCTCTAGCCATCCCCTCCCTTAGTTCATGTCCATGGGTCATGCATATGAGTTTTTTAGCTTCTTCATTTCCTGTACCGTTCTTAACCTCCCCCATGTATTCTGTATGTACCAGTTTGTACTTCTTAATCCCTGCACATTTTCCCCCACTACCCCCTTCCCCTTCCCAGCTGACAACCCTCCAAATGATCTCCATATCTGTAATTCTGTTTCGGTTCTGCTGGTTTGCTTAGTTTGTTTTTCTAATAGCTGTGCAATTTCTTGTTCATAGTGGTGCAATTTGTTGCCATTTTAATGTTCATACTTTTTAATCTTTTTCTGAATATAATTCCCTTTAACATTTCATATAATAAGGGCTTGGTGATGATGAGCTCCTTTAGTTTTAGCTTGTCTGGGAAGCACTTCATCTGCCCTTCAATTCTAACTATAGCTTTGCTGGATAGAGTAATCTAGGTTGTGAGTCCTTGCTTTTCATCACTTTGAATACTTCTTGCCAGTCCCTTCTAGCCTATAAAGTATCTTTCCAGAAATCAGCTGACAGTCTTCTGGGAACTCCTTTGTAGGTAACTCTCTGCTTCTCTCTTGCTGTTTTTAAGATTCTCTCTTTATCTTTAACCTTTGGCATTTTAATTATGGTTTGTCTTGTTGTGGTCCTCTTTGGGTCCAATTTGTTTGGAAATCTCTGTGCTCCCTAGACTTGTAGGTCTATTTCCTTTGCCAAATTAGGGACGTTTTCTTTCATTATTTTTTCAAATAAGTTTTCAATTTCTTGCTCTTTGTCTTCTCTTGGCATCCCTATGATTCGGATGTTGGTATCTTTGGAGGTATCTCAGAGGCTCCTTATTCTATTCTCATTTTTCCTCTTACTGTTCTGATTGAATGCTCTTTTCTTCCTTTTGTTCCAAATCATTGATCTGAATCTTGACTTCATCCCTCTACTATTGGTTCCCTGTAGATGTTTTTTTTATTTCACTTAATGCAAACCTTCATTGCTGCCTGGGTCTTTCTTATGCTGTTGCAGTACCCAGTGAGTTCTTTGATCATGATGATCACCAGTGTTTTGAACTCTGTATCTGATAGGTTGCTTATCTTCATGTCATTTAGTTCTTTTCTTAGAGTTTTGTTCTCTTCTTTCATTTGGGCCATATTTCTTTGTCTCCTCAATTTGGCAGCCATCCTGTGTTTGTTTCTGTGTATTACATAAAGGTGCTTTGACTTCCCATCTTAGCAGCATAGCCTATTGTAGAAAAG